AAAAAAAAAAAAAAAAAACTATTAGATAAAGGCATATTTGTTTACAAAATGTTCTACGTTACCTCTGTCATCCTCAGAAAGAAAAGTAGAATGGACAGAGCATAACATCTACTACAAGAGCAATTCTTATTTGTGTTTACAGATAATTTTGAATGAGAGGAATATCAACATGATGGAACTGAAATCAACTCTGCAGGCTCTCCATTTATACAGAAGGGAACTATGAGAGTAAAGACAGATTCGAAATGTTGCCATATATAAAAGTTAGTGTGCTCCATTCAAGACTCTAGTCCCTATAAAACAGCAATAACAGAAATCAAAACCAAAAACCAAAAGCCAAATAATATTCCGAAATCCTCTCCAAAGTTATATGGGAACATGTGATGATAAGGGTGGAAGAGGACAATGTATGGATCTAGCTTTCACCCACTCCCATCATTTCTCAGACAATGTGGAATCAGAAACATTTTTAGCAGATGAAAAAATCTGCATACAATATTCAATGATTCCATAATGACATCAACGAAACTCTTTTATAAAAGGCTTTAAAAAAAAAAAGATCAAGTACATTATTTCACCTTCAATTTTGCAAGATACTGTATGCTTAGTGGTCATATTTTGACAAATGTTTTTGTATGACATTTCTGAAATGAACTAGTTTGTTTCATTAATTTCTATGAATGTGGAACATTTACTGACATATTGGTATTGGCACTTGGCTTTGGTATTACACTCACACTATCTTTAAACAATGATCTAGTCATGGGGATGACACACAGTCATGTGCAATTACTACATGTGAAAAGAATATTCACATTATAGGAGATGAGCAGTCAAGAACCAAATGAAAATTTGGTAAGAAGGAACATCAAGAAAATAGTGGTGGGCAGAAGGTTTAGATTTTTGGTTTTATTACCAAAGTAGGCAGACTACAGTATTAAAAGGAAGAAGAAGAAGAAGAGAAAAAGAAAACGTAGTGAGGAAAACAAGGTGATGGTGGTTACCTTTTTACACAATTCTGTTTTGATCTTGAGCAGGTTGACCTTAAGGCACTCCTCCACCTGACCTGTCTGCTCTTGGGCTGCTGCTTCTTCAGCACAAAGACTAGAGATCTGTTCAGGAGACACAAAACACAAGGCCACCCCATTGAGCACAGAAATGAACCAACAGTTTTTTTTTGTTTTGTTTTGTTTTTTGAGACAGAGTCAAGCTCTCTTGCCCAGGCTGGAGTGCAGTGGTACGACCTGGGCTCAGTGCAACCTCTTCCTCTCAGGTTCAAGTGATTCTCCTCCCTCAGCCTCCCAAGCAGCTGGGACTACAGGTGTGTGCCACCACACCTGACAGACTTTTTTATTTTTAGTAGAGATGAGGGTTTGCCATGTTGGCCAGGATGGTCTCAAACTCCTGACCTTCGGTGATCCTCCCGCCTTGGCCTTCCGAAGTGCTGGGATTACAGATGTGAACCGCCACACCCAGCCTGAATCGACAGTCTCAAAAGCAGATGGGTCCAGTGATTCCAATCAGCACTGGACACTGAGGAATCTGTGCCCCCTCCTTAGTGGTCCACTGCTGTTTTACAAGCCAGGGGTGGTAGCACTGCTATCACCAGAACCCTTGGTCTCTAAAACATGTCAGTTTGATGATCCTGCCACACCTGTGCCAGACCTCATCTCAAACAGCTTCTTGGGGGTTTCATGCCCCTCCTCCTGTATTGGATACCAGGCTTCATTCTTCACAAGGACTGGCACACCGAATGGAAAATCCATAAATGTTGTATCTACGCTGTCAACACTGAGACGAGTCAGATCTCAGGACTTGTCAAAAAGAAGGCTGCTACTTGATTCCATAGAAGCAAGGTTATATAACCAAATAAAATATGAAAAGCAGCGCCGGGTGCGGTGGCTCAAGCCTGTAATCCCAGCACTTTGGGAGGCCGAGGCGGGTGGATCACGAGGTCAAGAGATCGAGACCATCCTGGTCAACATGGTGAAACCCCGTCTCTACTAAAAATACAAAACATTAGCTGGGCATGGTGGCACGTGCCTGTAATCCCAGCTACTCAGGAGGTTGAGGCAGGAGAATTGCCTGAACCCGGGAGCGGAGGTTGCGGTGAGCCGAGATCACGCCATTGCACTCCAGCCTGGGTAACAAGAGTGAAACTCCATCTCAAAAAAAAAAAAAAATATATGAAAAGCAAACACATGACATTCACACAGGTTCAGGGTGTTAACCCAGATTCACAACTTGAGAAAGTGTGCACATGCACACACCCACATACACAGGGGTTGAGAAGCACAGCCCATAGCCCACAGAAAAGACAAAAACCTTAACTTTTTTTTTTTTTTTTTTTTTTTGAGACAGAGTCTTGCTCTGTTGCTAGGCTGGCGTGCAGTGTCACCACGCCTGGCTAAGTTTTTGTATTTTAGTAGAGACGGGGTTTCACTATGGCCAGGAAGGTCTCAATCTCCCGACCTCATGATCCATCCGCCTTGGCATCCCAAAGGGCTGGGATTACAGGTGTGAGCCACTACGCGGGTCAAAAACCTTACCTTTCTTTGGACAGTTTTATGAGCAAGCTTTTTTTAACAGCTTTTGCTATGAGCTCCTGAAACTGACATATGTTGAACAGGGCTGTACACACGGCCTTTTTCTTCTAGCTAAGAAGTCCATTTTTCCAAAGATGGGCACTTCCTTACAGTCATTATAGAAGTACCTTTTTATTTACTTATTTTTTTTGAGACAGAGTCTTGCTCTGTTGCTGGGGTGCAGTGGTGTCATCTCAGCTCACTGTAACCTCCATCTCCTGGGTTCAAGTGGTTTTCCTGCCTCAGTTTCCCAAGAAGCTAGTATTAAAGGTGTGTACCACCATGCCAGGCTAATTTTGTATTTTTAGTAGACATGAAGTTTCACCATATTGGCCAGGCTGTTCTCAAACTCCTGACCTGAAGTGATCTGCCTGTCTCAGTCTCTCAAAGTGCTGGATTATAGGCATGAGCCACTGTGCCCAGCTGGAAGTACTTTTATCTTTCTGGGAAGTCTTGGGGTATTCTCAGTTGACCATACAGAATAATGAAAAGGGAAGAACAAATTTACAAGGAGAGCTATAATGAAAGAATACCCTCATTCAACAGAGAAATATGCAACTAATGCTGTACAATGTCAGGACTAATACCAAATCGAATTCAGTGTTACGGAGGACAGGAACGCAGACCATGGAGAGCCTAGAAAATGGCCTTCAATTCACCACAGATTATTTAGGACTGGAGGGAGAGAAAGCAAACAACTTTTCTCCAGTGAAAACTTCTCTGAGCGGCTCCGTGTGCAACCAACTTTGCAGCAAATCCCACCTCGTCTGAGCAGTGCAGCTGCAGCTGAGGATCCAGGCGGTAGTCCAGGGCGGACTCCTGGATAATGATCCGGATCTGGTCTTCGCAGTCTGACGACAGGCGCTGCATGTGACAAAGGATACATCGGCTGATCAGAAAACGCAAAAGCAGGACACGAAAAAAAAAAAATAAATAAAAAGAACGAAAAAAACCAAAACATCTGCTTTTGTTCTTGGCCCTTAGCCCCCCCGGCTTGGGGAAGATATGAAAAAGGTTTCTGGAAAACCAGAACAAGCTAGGGATTTCAAAAGAGAAAATTCCCAGGGATAGAGGCTCCATAAATATACCTTTGTAGAGAGCCCAGGCCAGTTTACCTGGTCAGCATATCTCAGCTTGAGGCAGGAGATGACTTGTCCTTCTAATTCTGAATCATCCTTGGCTTTAGTCAGGATACCATGACAGAATTTAGGAATGTCAGCTTTACAGGCTTTTCTTAGCATGGGGTTTAAGCGGTAATCTAGAACAGAAAGCAGTGAGTGTGTGACAAACATTCCACCTGGATTCACACATTTTTAAATATCCACCTTCCTAAAGGGAGCATATTATGCCAATGACCATGACTACAACCATGAATTTGTCTATTCAGTAAACATTTACTGAGCTCTCACTACACTGTTTTTAATCACAATATGATTTAGTTAATGAGTACTTCTGGAGGTCCTCAGGAATCTTTCTACTCTGAGGGGTTTTATGGGGATTCCAACAGTCTAAGGAGTCCTCAGAAAAATCAAGCAGACATCAGCAACTTTCCCCGTAACAGATATTTTTGAGAACACAGAGAAGGAAATACAATATCCAACTCACTGTGCCCATGAAGTTACGAGGTATTCCAACCCAGAGTTGAAATGTCTCTGTTCCGAACTAGGTTACCCATATATTCTGCTGCCACACTCATCAAGTTTTATTGAATTTCTGGATTTCTCTTTCCAAGGAATGCTGGCCCTGATTTCTTCTGAACGTTCCTGAAGGGCAGTTTTCTGTTTCTTCTGGCCTCCTCTCTCCCCTGACTCTCCCTCTGTTTTTCTGGATGCTCCTCAGAAAAGGAAGTCTCCTGCTTACACTCAGACTCCTCCCTTCAAATTCCCAGGAGTTTGATCAGGTCATGCTACAGCCACTGA